CACCCTCCCCCCCCCAGCCTGTATGGATACTGGGGGTTACCCCGACCCAGGTGCAGGACCTTGCCCTTGGCCTTGTTGGACCTCATGAGGTTCCCATGACCCCACCTCTCCAGCTTGGCCAGGTCTCTCTGGATGACATCCCGTCCCTCTGGCGTGTCAGCCACACCACTGCCAACTGTCAGTGCCCATAAGGCTCTAGTCCATACAGCTGCAGGCATCTGCCGTACCGGTAATAGCCAACGCAAGCTTTATCAGCCGGAGCACCAGTGAGGTTGCTGGAATACCCTCGGAGGCTGGAGCGGCGGCGGTCGGGCTCCTGCTGCTGGTTAACGAGCTGCCTTGTGCAGTCGGACACTTACAACAAACTGCATGCGCCGGATTTTGTTTGACGTGTCTGCAAACTGTCCGCAGAGGAGCGGAGGGGCTGCCAGGACGGATAACACAATAACCTGTGAAATTCAGCCTCCTGCCTGGGATTACAGCTCGTGTCAGCCGGGGGAGGTGCAAGGAACAAGGCAGCAGGGTTGTGGATGGGAGGTGATGGTCTGCTTGTGAGCGGGCGCTGGGGCTGGGCTGTGGGCAGGGCCTGAGGGGCAAGAAAATGCAGAATTTTCAGATACAAATCCCGTGTCTGCTCGGAAGCCAGGCAAGAACTTTCATTAACTTCGTGATTTGCTATGTCACAGAGCAGAGCAGAGAGATTTCCCAAGAAGAGGCAGAGGAGCTTCTTGAACAGTTTAAAGATGAGAAGTTGCTCCTCCTGCTTCTGTTTTAGCCCCATCCAACTCTCACCACGGTCACTGGGAAGGGTGGGAAGAGTCCTGCGGAGGGAACCGGTACCTGGGTCAGCTTCTACCTCTGCTTCGGAAGGATGCGTGCTTTGCTCCCGGCGGCAGAGGGGGGTATTTGGTGTGGTTTCTCTTCACTGCATGCTTCTGAGCACGTGTTCGTAATTCACAGTGTTTCTAAAGGCTACGATGATGAGGGGACTGGAGTTCAAGGAGGATGAGGAATTCCTGGAGAGAGCCCAGAGGAGGCCAACAAGGATGATGGGGGGACTGGAGCATCTCCCCTAGGAGGAAAGGCTGAGGGAGCTGGGCTTGTTCAGCCTGGAGAAGAGAAGGCTGAGAGGGGATCTCATCAACACCTACAAATATCTCAAGGGTGGGGGTCACGAGGACGGAGCCAGACTCAGTGGTGCCCAGCGCCAGGACAGGGGGCCATGGGCATGGGGGCCATGGGAACATGGGCCATGGGCACAACCTGAAGCAGAAGAGGGTCCAGTCGCACGCGCCTGTGAGGGTGCCCGAGCCCTGGCCCAGGCTGCCCAGGGGGGCTGTGGAGTCTCCTTCTCTGGAGATCTTCAACCCCATGTGGCGCCCTGTCCTGTGCCCCCTGCTCTGGGTGAGCCTGCTTGGGCAGGGGGGTGGGACTGGGTGAGCTCCCGAGGGCCCTGCCAACCCCGGCCATGCTGGGATTCTGTGTGATTCTGTGAGCTGCTGTGATCAGAAGTTTTGCAACGGCGTGGCCACCTGCGTTGTGTTCGTGGAAGGCGTCCTCTGCTCCGGGGCGTGCACAGGAGGAGAGGGGAGAGCGGACCTGGAAGCTCAAGCGCTGCGCTGGATGCAGCACCCTGGCACGCAGGTCCATCCTCGGCTCCAGCCCTGATCCCGAGCAAACACCTTCATCTCCAGTATTTCACCTGCCTGAAACACGGGTGTTGTTCTGCCGATTGAATTAATGAGCCATCTGAGGCAAGGGCACGTTAGGCGCGCAGGCGGGTGCACCTTATAGCACAGCGTATTGCTGATCTCAGCTTTATCTGCTACAACGCTATAAATACCAGTGGCAACACGGAGCAAAAGCCGCCAGAGTACGGCTGAGGCTGCAGCTGCACATTTTACACACGTTTCTCGGCAGATTTTTTAAAGTAAACTCTAGTTTTTCAACAGGTGATCCCTGATCGCGCCGGTTGTTCCTTGTTTGCAGACTTTTCTTTCCCATGGGCGCGCTCCCCACGCCCACTGCCGGCTGACGTCCCCGCGGAAGAGGAACGCCTGTCCCTTGCCTTTCCGCAGGGAGCTTGCCGAAAGGAGCCGGCATCTGGCAAAATGAAGCGTGGGGTTTTGGGTACGCCCCACATGCGTTTGGCAGAGGTGAGGATGGGATCCATCTGCCCGAGACGGGCTCCACTGGGGACCCTGCCTGTAGGCACGGCTGCTGCTCCGGGGCTTTACATTTTTCTCTGAGCTTCGCTATTTCAGAGTATCCAGCGTCTCGAGGTAACGCCTGCATTTCGCTCATCTGTTCGGGAATAACGACTGAACGTTTTGCTTTGGGGAGTTTCCCCCCAAGACTGCACCCCAGCAGCCACCTACGGCCACGGGGACACAGGAATTCGGCGATGTGCGTGCGGCGGGGCTCTGCGTCCCACCGTCATCCCCCACCAGACCTCATACCTCCAGCAGTGTCTTCTTCATCTTCCTCAGTTCAACGTGTCGGGAGAGGAGAGGGCAGGGCGGGTTTTGCCCAAGTCCATGCATGGCCAGTGAGCAGCACCAAGCCAGATTCAATCCAGCACCAGCCCTGCCACTTGGCTGCTAAAATGTGCTTTATTTCATGGGCATCCCGACTTGTCTGGAACCGGCAGCTGCTGGGAATGTGTCGGAGAACCTGTTCTCACAAGAGGTCCTGCTGCTCTTTAGATCAGCATGGTGTTGCTAAATTTGGACACAGTATTGATAAGCATCTGAGTCGGTAGATTTATCTGATCTGGACCTCTGAACCTGCTGAGTAGGTGGCACCTCTGCTGAGCTTTCATTGTAAAAAATGAGCTAGATCAGCAGATTTCCAGCCATAAAAAGAGACAGGGCATTGTGTTACCACCAGTCTGCAGAGAAGGAGACATCGCTTCATTCTTTTCCCTTAACCCTCTCCCATGGTTTGTATGTACCAGGGTTTTTTTTTCCCTGTGAATTCTCGTAGTCGATGCTATGGGCATTGCATTTTAATGGGAATTAATGGCATTTGCATTAGATAGTTGACCAGGACACCTTAACAGGAGGAGAGGACAGGAGAGTGTAGATGTTCAGCCCAGGAGAAGGCAGGCTGGGAGGATCACGGCACCACAGAATCACAGTTTTATGATGAGTTCTTGGTTTCTGTTCATACTCGGGGTTGCACGCCAGGAGAGCAGGAGGTCGGCGTGGGCTGAAGGGAGGTGGACCGGCAGTGGCGGCAGGAATACCATCGGGCTGGCAGGCAGAAGCATCCCCTGAGCCTCTGCCCGGCGCCGTGATGCTGCATAACCACCTCGGAGAGGACCTCAAGGGTTTGTGGGTGTGGAGAGCCCGGGGTGGTGTCTGAAGCAGGGGGAAACAACCCCTGCCCTCACCAGTGGAATGTTTGGGGATGTTACCCTCCTCCTCACCACCACTGCCATTGCTGGTGGAAAGAGCTGGGAGCTTGTGCAAAGAGGTGTGAGACGGAGACGGGCAAAGCTGCCTCCGAGCTTCACCAGGAAATTAATGGAATAACTATTGTGCCAGAGTGGTGCGCACCTTGGTAGCCCGTTCAATGAAACATGGGCAGGGCCTGGCAATTATTTGATGTTTCTTCCTACTCAGGCAGAAATCTGGACGAGTTTTTATTCTTTAATGAGTTGAACTGATCTCTCAGAGTAATTATAATTATGCAGCTAACACTTGATTACGCACCTCCTCAGCACTTCATCTGAGGAGGGGAAAAAAAAAGAAAAAAAAAATAAAATTAAAAAAAAAAAAAAAAGCCTTGGAAGTGGAGCTGCCTGACGTGAAAGTTCCCTCCAGTACCTGCAGATACTGAAGCTGCAGCAGAGTTGCCTGACTCACTCAACCCAAAAAAATAAACAATTAAAGGGAGGATTAATGAAAAAAAAAAAGTGTGTGTCCTGGTTTCGGCTGGGACAGAGTTAATTTTCTCCCCAGTAGCTGGCATGGTGCTGTGGTTTGGATTTAGCGCCAGAAGAATGCTGGTAACACCCTGATGTTTCGGTTGTTGCGGGGTAGTGCTGAGACTGGCCAAGGGCTTCTCAGCTCCCAGCTCTGCCAGGGGCACAAGGAGCTGGGAGGGGGCACAGCCAGGACAGCCGACCCCAACCGACCCCAGGGGTAACCACACCGTATGGCGTCACGTGCAGTATAGAAACCGGGGGAAGAAGAAGTAAAGGGGGGGACATTGGGAGCGATGGCGTTTGCCTGCCCCAGTCACCGTTACGCGGGATGGAGCCCGGCTGGCCCGGGGGGGGC